AAAAAAAGCGACATTCTTTTCTTACCAACCTAATATTTGTGAAATGTCAGTGAAAAAGTCTAAATTGATATAACATTTGTGTAGTTTTGAGTGTTCATCAACTGCTCCAGTTTTTCGTTCACTGTTGTGGAAAAAAACAAATTCGAATAACAGAAATTGGATGAATGCGCATCTTGTCAAGCTTGTCTGATTTTTGATTAAAAAAATTTTCGTCTAGTCAGACTACCTTGTTGAACAATGAACTGAAATCCGTCTGTATTACGTAAACTTATACGTAAACATATTGTTGACTTAGCGATGTAAGAAGACACATTGTTAGAATGTTCATTTCAGTGCGCACATAATATTTCCTACACTGTATATCTATCTCCTTGTGGCGAACTAATTGGATTCTTTTACGACAGGCAATGTACAACCAGTCGCTCGAGCCCGAAAACGATGCTGACAACATCATAGCAGGATTGATAATGATACTGGTAAGACTTTGAATTCTGTTGGAACTTGTGAGTTAGCAATTTCCCTTGATTTAGACGGGGATGATTGGTTCCGCAGTCAACTTTGTTGTTATGCTACTGATAATAAAAACCTCGTCTTTTCATAGCGCATTTGGTTACATATGTTTTTCTCACCTCATTGCAGCCAGTGCTGCACTTCTCACGGGTACATTCTGGACAGGACCAGTAACAGTTTTGTAAGTTTTGTTGAAAACATTGCACGGTAACAAACAGACACTTTTAGCAGCTTCAACGAGTCTGTCACAGTCTCATTCGTCGGTGCAGGATTTGGGCAGTTGATGCATCTGTTCTGGTTTGTGTCCATGTACAGCCATCTTCAAGTCGCCGTGAACCGTCTTATAGCAGTAGCTCGGCCATTTCTTTACAAGTGAGTTGAATAAACTGAAAGAAATTATTCACACCATACAGGTCTGATTTACTATTCAATCTGGCCAAAAGATTTCGTCGCATCGCATGCCACTCTGGGTGAAGACATATAAGGTGAATGGAGTACTACTCCATAGAGCAAGCCGAGCCTATAAGATTATCAAACTTCTGTATATTCAATGATCTAGCCAAACTTTGAAGCCAAAAACTAAACACTTTGATGGCCCAGAGGTCAATTTTTCGATCAAAATTTTACACAGTTTTTACTTGATTATTGTACGATAATCATATACAAACACATGAATATATGATGAGAAAACGAAAATCGTCATGCTCCTCCAGTGGTGAGAGGGGAGTTGCCAACTCGTCCGAGCGCGTTTGAAATTGGCTTGCACATGTAAGTTAAAAAGCAATTTTCTCGGCAGGGAACGCATGCATGGCGATCGGAATCGCACTCTTTTCATATCTTCGTGATAAGCAACCTACTGCCATAAAATTCCGAGTTGTTAAGTTTTGCCGATCCACTGCCTTTATGGGTGAGACACAAAGTCGCGCGGGATTTTACAACTTCAACTGTGGCGGCATGCGTTCTCTGCCGCGCAGAACATCCACTTGGGGAAGCCCTCACCGCGGCGTAAGTTTCCCTACTTTCCGACCGTATTTCTTGCTTCTGGATAAACGTTATGGCCTCGCATTTGCGCGATGCGTGTTCGAGGGGATGGCTGAAACCCGAAAACTTCAACCTTGTCCGGACACTACCTTCAAATGAGGGCTAAGTGGGAGGTTCTGAAAATTTTTGTGCACGAGATTTTTTGGTCATTGAAATACTCGTAAACCTTGGCTGCAACCTTTGCGTGAACCACATCTATAGAATTCATTCTGTGAAGCTAGCTTTGTCTCTAATAATCTGCTCTCACTTTTTGGTATTCGCTCTGCTGCGGCAGCATGTGATGCGACAGAACTTTCGTGCTAGCTTAATATTATGATACTTCAAAGTTAACGACATGGTCAGCTATATGAGTCATTCTTGACTTGAAGAGCTTTTTTGTAGTACTGGCCTTATGCCGCCGCTCATTTCAGCACGCTGTTCACTGGCAGAAGTTTGGTTTGCTACATTGGAGTAGCATGGATCATGGCCTTTCTATTATCTTCTCCGCACTTTATGTGTAAGTTCACATTCGTTCTTTTCTGCTTAACATCGATCGGGAAATCAAAACAAAATCCTTAAGATGATTGCTGGCTTTGGTTCGATGTCAAGACAATTTCCTGGGTGAATCGGGATACGCACTGTTCTTCCATAATGAACAAAATGTTTTTCTACAATACTATGATAATGTGTGCATTGATAATTTTGATCAACACAAGCACGTTCTACTTCCTACGCAAGGAAATGAAGGTGAATATCTGACTTCTTGATCAACTTTGCAGAAGAGCAACTACCACCACTTTGTACTGAAGCAAGGGCATTTAGGCGTTGGGAAAAACTGGTGGCATTCTCAAACAACAAGAAATGGTTCGAATGAAGCGGAATGTCTCGCTTTACATGCAGGTATCGCTGGAGTTTATGTAATTTCATTTCAATTCATAAGAAGGTATATTACGGTCAAGATCTGATGCAGGGTGGCAGAGAGAGATAGATATCTCAAAGGCTCAGGACAAACATCTCTAATCTAGTTCAAACTGACACGCGACCATTGCGCCTCGCACGTCTAACGTTGCTGAGTGGTAAGCCGCTAACGCCGCCTGCAATGAAGCTAAGCTAGGAAGCTATATTGGTAACGTGTTCTCCACCTACCAAGAAGAAACACGTAAACGTAGAGAAAAACGAAGAATAAACGATTCCCCCCAATTTTAGCGAAGTGGACTGCGCTGCTTGATAACGTGAAGTCGATTTTCACGATCAGACAGAGCTTTATACTGCCGTTTCTAAATATACGAAATACATTACGCAGTTCACAAATATATAAAGCAAACTGTGATGGAAACCCATAAAAAGCATAGCGATACGATTCTTTTAACAACACCCATTCAAAGACAGTGGCTTGGCAAATCCTCGACCCAGAAATTTTTCGCCTTTGTGGTTATCCGATGCGCGCATCTCAAAAATCCGCTTTGTAGAGCACGAAAATGTTGAGAAACAACATTTCCCGAGGCCCTCCATTTAGATTTCAGACGAGTGAAAAAACAGTTTCCGCCATGGCTGGAGACGCGAAGTCGTTGCGGGACCCTTGCAGTTAGAACTGCGGCATGCCGCCCCTGGTGGCGAGAGAATGGTTTGGTATACACCAAGCTGGCACCACTACGTTGTAAACT